TTTTTTCTTTCCAAAAGTTGCATTAGTGGAATAATCCTGGATAATAATGCTCGGAATAACGAGATAATAACTACAATTGTTTATCAATTTTATTTCCTGTCATTGTCTTGTTGAACAAATGGCTGAAGAAGTTACTTATTGAGACAAGTCCTGGTGGTAGTGGAGGAATCTTCCATCCTGCAACATCAAGAAGAGTGGCGGGATCGACCGATATTCCGTGATTTGATGTTTCAATCATTGATGGTGCACGATTGTGGAAGTCATTAGTGTACTCACTAGTCATTACCGAGCTCCTTCGATCTTTTTTTCGTCTCTTCTTGTCAGCATTTTTATCACCACATCCCATTAATTCTGCAACACTAATCTTTCCTGTTCGCACGCCCTAAAACAATAGATATCTCTTATAATATTACAAACATGTATCAAATAAATTCAAATTAAATTTACATATTGCTCCCGAAATACCATTAGTTATTCTCATATTACGCCAATCCAAGTCGGATTCATAAAATTTTTCCAAGGCAACAGTGAAGTTAGACTACTCAATCTACTAAAGTTCTTTATAATTGCACAGTAATGGCAGTGTGATATTTCACTGCTTCTTGTGAGATAAAAACCAAATAACTTACGGTGGAAGAACTGACTCGTCCACGACGTTGAATTTCATCCAATAGTGCGAGCTCTTCCACACTCAGCGATACACGCACCCCTTCCTTGCCACCACGCAGTTCACTGAAGCTCACAGTTCGTGAGGGTGGTGTACCTCGCGCTATTGGTATGGTGCACTTTTTGTTTGATGACATGATTCCTGTGTATCGTGCGCCTTGCCACTTCTCTTGCTGTCACTATGATGTCGTCGTTTATTGTTGTTGTTGTTCTGGTACGTTGTGGATGAATTGTTCTGTAATTCCTTTCAACTCGCACAAACAAGTGGAATGAAGCAGTTCACATACATGCGCATACACACTCATCCATTAACTAACTCATTATCAATCAAATTTTTTATCATTTTTGATAAGTAAACCAGGATTGCATATTGCCATCCCAAATTCAGTGATCGGCTATCTTTCCAATATCTCAAGAGAAGTACCATTCACCCATCTTCTTTTCCATTCTTATGTGCAAATCAACATTTTTCAAACCTGTTCTGCCTTTTTCTCTATACAGTAATAGCTTTCTTCATTTCTTAACAAGACTTATTTCTTTCAATTTCAAAACTTCTGTCAAAGATATCAACTGATGATAAAAATACTACTAAAAAATTTGGCCTAAATATTATACTCCATCTCGCCTCTTTGACGAACGGTGCTTGTAAAAATGGTGACTATTTCGCAGAAAATATTTGATAATGCTATCGATGATATCAAATTCTAACTTAACGCTCAGTTCACAATTATCTTCAATGTCAGCTTTTTTAAAGAAACATAAAAATCACAGAGTCAATTGACTTATGCAATAAAACACGTACGTCTTGCGAATGAGTCAGAGGTATGTATGAGGATGAAATCACACAAATTAAATCAGGAGCGAGAATGAGTATGTTTCACATGTGAATCATAAACGTAATACAGATATTTGACGTAAGATATAAAACACGCAAGCGTTCAGATAGAGACATCTAACAATCAATAATAGCATAAGTAAAAATTATTTGATCATTGTATACAATTTCTCGCCCGCATAAAACAAATAACAAACTCAAGAAGTAATTGCACCAAGTTTAATGGAATGATACATGCGATATGTTCGTACGTACGTGAATAATAGCTGAGCTATACCTTAAAGCAACAATATTAACCGACCAATCATTATGATGACAAACAACCAAATGGAATGTTTCTGCCTGGACGTCATGTCATGATCTCATGCTGTATGCAAATTAGTTAAATGGCGTACGTGCATACTACAAATCGCAGCAATCCTGGAACATTCTGGAACCATATTAGGGGATTACTGTATTTCTATTCGTCCTGGTAGGAATGTATTTTGGGATTACTGTATTCTCTGTACTATTTATTCCGACATTCCAGGATTATTACATTTTCATCCATCTTGGCAGGAAATATACTCTAAAACTACTGTATTCTGTATGTCATCTGTCCCGACAGTAAGATAGAATACAGTAGTTCTAGGGGCATCCGAAATTACTGTATATATTTCGAAAGAAAAAATCCCCAATTTATCGTTTGTACTACAGAGTTATTGTGTATAAATCGAGATCAATTAAAGTGTAGTCTCATTTATTATTCACTGAACTACAACGTATGCGATATACATAATTAGCATGCATATGATATATAAAGCATTAATTTTACGCGCGCAGCATGTAAACATTCTGCATTTCAGGATTAATTACGTATACTTATAACGTTTTGCTGCATTTTGCATGAACATGCATGCAACATAAACTTAGAGATTGACAGGTTTCAAATTAACGATAACCTTTCCGTTCTAACAAATAGTATCCTGACAACTATAAACTTAATAATGAAAATTAGAAATTTTGAAAATTCAAAAATGAGACATCTCTTCGACTTTACTATATTTATAATTATTATTTTATTCTTGAATCATCTTTCAAAAAAAAAAAAGATAAGCAATAACTATTGCTTCCCTTTCTACTTTACAAAAGATCAAATAATACCTACCCGTGAAATTCTTTCGCTTTCTCCAATACTTCATCTGCGCCGCATGCTCGCAACCGAGTAACTTTTTGTTGCAAAGAAAAAAACTGGCAATTATGCAAATTTGTTGGAAATCGAAGTTATTCTACTATTCACCACGGAAGCGAAAGATGGAAAAGATAAAATAGGATGAATGTATGGGAGGTCAGGAGAAAAAAATTAGGTTGGATATCTATGAGAGATTAGGAGGAAGACAGTTAGTTTAAAGAATAAAGCAAGGTAGCAAAACTAATTCTATTCTTATAAATCAAAAAGAAAGTAGGCTTTAGCAATCAAGTCTGACTCTCCAAATTGTCCAGTAAGTAGGCTTGGCTGCAAGTTGTCTAGGACTTTAGACACTTCTAATTCTTTTTATGACATTTTTCATATATGAATTTTTCTTTTCAGTTATAAACTCTTAACAATCGGTATTTTAAGTTGAACGCGGATGATGAACAACTTTATTTGTAGACTATGATCAGATTCCTTGCGACTTTGGCCAGATTTCTTGCTGCAATTGTAGTAGTAATTGTAGAGTGCATTTGACAGAAGACGCATTCCTAAATTTGCATTTTCTGGAAAGGTGGCCACAAAATTTCCAAAATTAACACAGATGATTCTAACAGCCAATAAATATTGTCCTGATTTTGGCAGTATTTTAATAATTCATTCTTAGTTGTTATCGTTGTATTATCGTTTGATTATTTTATTAATCATTGTTGATTATCATTATGTTATCATTATTGTTCCTAATATCACACTCATCAGCAACAACAATTGTATGATTAGTGATTATGACCATAATAAGTAATATCAATTTACTTTTTTATCTTATTTCTATTAATAATATCGTAAGAGGCAAATCAGATATTATGTTATAACATTCACTAAATATACCATGCGTGTTTTTCTAAAGAATTTCTCATTGCGAATGTAATCATCATTTCCTAAGTTGACATTTACTTCACCCATCAACATTATACAGCGACAAGGGAAGGAAAGATCTAAAGCAAGGCTCTCAAGTTTTCAAGAATCCGTAAATCTTTTAAACTAAACAAGTCAAATTAAGCTTTATAAGGAGTAGCAATAAGATAAAACAAGTTTAAATTAATGGAATGAGATTTGGTAGGTACACACCTAGTAAGCTAGAGATGAGAAAACTTCCCCTTTCTAGGAAGCAATCCAGGTACTGTTCATTTGGCAACTTTCTTATGTTGCGCTCATTCCATGATTAGATCCAAAGAACGTCAACTCAAAAAAATTCAAATTACTACCACAAATATCAAAGGATAGCAACCCTTTGTTGTACTCGATCTTAACTTATTTATCCCGGAGATATCCTCAAAGTTATCCAAAAAACTGCTGTTCACATATATAGATTTATACCGCTCCTACAGGCAATTCCTTCTTCCTTACATATCCAGACAAATTGTCACCTTTCCACATTATATGTCCCCTTTTTCAAATTCCGATTAGAAGAGCTGCAGTGAGATTGTGCATATTTTGCAGGAAAGGAACGATTTCAGAAACTGTTACGCAACAAATTTATTTTTCAACAACATCGGTAAACAGCAGAGAGAAAATAAACCGAAAAAAAAGAAATGCAATATTAAAGCCTGAGATTAAAAGCGCAAAAAACTTCTCTGTAATAAAAAGAATCCTAGATTCCAAATCATAAGGCTAAATTATTAATTTTTCCTGATTCAAGGATGCTGTTTTGCAGAAAAAGCAAATATGTAAGCAGAGAAGTCAAGATAACTATAGCTAATAAAGTCATACAAAAAGAATCAAGCGGTTGCGGATCTTTTGGCTTGCATAACTTCTTTCCGACTTGCATCCTGCAGCAGCTGGGTGTCTATTTGATCAGCAGGCAGTTGCACATATCGTACTACGGATCCACGAATGAAGCAATTTTTGACAGAAAGCATATGCGGGTACCGCTCTGAATCGGTCACTGAGATATCCGTCAGTTTCATGTTTAGATACTGATCCACAGAATGCAACGTACCGCAGATACTGCAATGAAAATATCACACTTTTCAGTCAACTCAACAAAAATTTAGCAATGCAGAGCACGAAAACGACACGAATCTGATATTTCTAACAACTAGCATTCAAAAAAACCAAAATAATTTGCTACTTCCGAAAGCAAAAAGCCAAAACTAACGAAAAGAGATACAAAACAACTCACCTCAAATCATTTTTCAATTCCACCACCACATCTTTTCCAACTAATGATTTGAAAAAGGAATAGAACAGCTAAAAAAAACATTTGAATTACGAAACTTAATACTTCTTCATGTAATTCCCTACATATACAAACTGATTTTCTTTTCTATAAGAGTTTAAAAGACATCTCTTCCTCCTTCCCTTCCATTATAAAAAAGACTGACCATTTCAATGAACCGTTAGAATAAATGCATGCCAAACAAAAAACGACAGTCCTGAAATTGAACATTTATAATAATGCTTTTTTGTTTGTGGTAACGGCAATGGAGCAGTGTATTTGCCTTAAAATTTCTTACTGAAGAAACTTTAGATAGATCCATCCCTGCCTCCTTTCTACTTTTTATTTTGCCAATAATTAAAGAATGGACTCTCCAATATGACCACAATTTATTACTTCCAGCCTGCTATCCAATCCTTCAAAACCCCCCAAAAAATTGTCAATATTTTTCATTACTTCGTAGTATATTAACCAAATAGTTACTTCATGCTCTATTAAAAATGAAAAAAAAATGGTACAAGGAAAAATAAATTTAAATTCTTCCAATATGGTCGAGAAGTTGCTATCATCAGAAATGTAGTCCAATACTAGATTATTACTGAACAAAATATTGCAAAGTAACAGAGATCAAATTTCGTAGTCATTTACTTAGCTCCTGTACTTCTAAACAGATGAATACAAAACATTGCATTTATGGTGAAAAAAAGAGACAATGAAATAACAAGTTCGGAAGGATAGAGAAATTACCAGAAAACATTTGAAATGTAACAAAATGGATAACAATACATAAGTTTTGATAGAACAGAAAGGGAAACTATGAGAAAGTTTGAATTACTGCTACGCAGACAAGAATTCTACCTTTATTAATCCTCAAATTTTACTTTTCTCTTCCTTTCATTTAGCATATTTCCATGGTCCACCAATTGTAATCTAACTGTTCGCATTTCAACATACTTCACAGTTCACCGCTGTTATACATTTCGAGATCGCTGAGGTTTCCACCAGGAATATTCAATATAGTAAGGTGATAAAGTGTCAGGTGAGACAACAGCTAGTAAGATATGCTTCTTCACTTGAGAGGAGAGCCTTGAGAGCGCAATAAGATCTAGGGAAGATAAAGCGTCTTGTGAATTGACACATTTCACTAACCACTTGGAATGATCCTGAAAAAAGTATGACATCAAAAACAGCAGTGATTTATCAATTACAGAATAAAAAATGCTATGAGTTAAAAAATGTTATCTGAAAGCGGTATAAAATAAGAGACAATTTAAAGTATGAAGACAAAAAAGATACTAACTTCACCAGGAGCAGATTCATAAGCAAGATAATCACATCCGAACTTCAAACCACACGTTAAATAATAACCTCTACGCCATAAATCACGAAATGTGTTTAATCTGATTCGGAAATCAGAACTTTTCGGAAACGGTGGCCTCTCTATTTCTTCATATATTTCTTCATGAGTATTATCTGTAAATGACGTATTCTGATTACAAAAAGATGGATCATCCAATTTTTCTGCCAAAAATTTCTGAAGGAGAGAATTACATTCTTACTTAATATCATCTCAGTAAAAATCTCTTCTTTCCTAATTCAATTTTCTCATTTTTATGTCTTTGAAGGCACCAAGTAGATAGTTTAATACTGTACATCAGAACTATTAGCAAAATAGCTAAAGCCAGCATGTTCTAAAAGAAAGATTGCTGCTTTTAAGAAATAGCTTTAAGATATATATGCTGTAGAATGAAAGTCAGAAAAAAGTTATGTAAATCATTCTCCATTACTTTATTACAACAACAACATAAAGTAGAGAAGAAGTTAGAGAAGTTAACTAGACTAACTAGAAAACTCCTAGTGTGTTATAATATTACTAAGAATCGCCTTTACTTCAAAATTAAAGACTCACACAATGGAAGAAACCAAGTATTCTCTTGCTTAGAGATATTGTAAGGAGTCGACAGTTCCTTTACCGCATCGTTTATTTCGGAAGCTGTAACTTTCACATTAATAATATCACAGCGTTGAACCTGAAACACATTCTATCATATTGCTTTATAAAGCTCCACTGATTATGTCAATTTCATTTTATTGCAATGGAAAAAGTTTGGAGAACGAAATATGAAACATTCTGTGATGAAAATTAATCCATTCCACCAGACGATGACGAGAAAGAATGATCATATAAAGTATGAAGAATGTCATGCTCAACTCGACTTAGTATAATTTGAAAAAAAATTTATTCCAAATACCTTCAAAGCTGCAGCTGTAGCTCCATAATTAGCCTGACGTTTCAGTTTTTTTGCTTTCCGACCTTTTGCTATCATCTCAGCCTTTTTTCTTAATGCTACATGATCCAGCTTTGTGGAACAAGCTCTTGAATGTTCAGCATCGCTTCTTTCAGTAGGGATATCTTCTGCACTACTTTTGAGTTGTACAACCTTTGCGAGCCCAAAAGAGAACAAAATTAATGGTTAAAAAAGTACGAATAGATTCCTCAATTATGAAGCTAAACAAGTTTCCAAAACCATTCTCGAAAGTAGGATATTTTTTTCTTTTCAAGGAAGAGAACAGTCTTATTTTGAGTGAAACCGAAGAAGTATTAACCATATTCAACAAGTACAGCCACTTGTTCTGGCATTAAAACGAATGGAGCTCCATATTTCCGAAGATCGGCGCGCGCGTCGGGAGAAGTACCGCATGCTTCAGCGATGATACGACATTCTCTCATTTGCTCCGCCACTTCAAAATTTATGCAAATTTTAAGAGAATGCTTTCAAACAACCTTTAAAATATTTGGAAGGAAATAAGCGTATCATTCTAAATTTCATACCTCCCCAGTACTTTAGATTTAGCTTCATCCCTGTTAGATTTTGCTATACAGATATTTTCTTGGAGAAAGTTTGTCTCAAGCTGTACCTCATGTGTGCGATGAAATGTTGTCAGATAAAATCGCACACATCGTGTGTGCGATGCGTGCGATTTCATCTGACATATGTTCATTACATATACTATTACTAACCATTAGCATCAAACACAAGAAACTGTGAATTCAGATATTCGACCCGCGCAGGTGTACATTTCATCGAGATATCAATTTTATCATCTGTTGATGTAGAACATGTGTCTGTGACTAATATAGCTTCTCGATGTTCGCCCACTGAATTTGCTTCATCCATCTTCATCTGAAAAAGCCCTAATTTCATTTGTATCTTCGTATTTATGAAATATTCAGTATTATGGCATTAACAAGCTAATGATTAGGAATGCGTTAGATATTATTATCATGAGTGATGTATATATTCCGAAACACGAAGAGCTCCATGCATCACATTTGAAGTTTATTCTTTCAACCCTTATAAATCCGACGTACACAAACGTCATCAAGACAACATGACAAGTAAAATTGGCGTACAACGATATAACACATTATGTGTTAGAAGAGTACAAAATGTATGATATGCCAGGGAATAAGTTACATTGAAGTAACAGGCAGTTAAGCGTAAAGGTAGATTAGGTACACGTATTCCAGCGTACATCACTTCACAATACCAATACATGCACAGCCCGCATAATTTCGGAAATTTTTATTTTCGCCACACGTACCACATCAAATCTCCTCATTTGCCACACTCTCTAACATTCCTCGATCTCGGACAAATGCAGCATTTTCAATTAAAAAGAAATTTAGCGTGTGGGAAAAGTGCGAAGGTTAGTCTCTGAACTGTCATTGGGGGAGCGAGGGGGGGGAATGCTGTACTCGTCCCAGGTCACCTCTCAAAGTTATTTATTTAGTTACATGATGGCACTTCCGAAAACCAGAAGAATTATTTCCGGCAGACTAAACTGTGAATATAGAGTGCGTTCTAAGTATCGTTTAGAGATCCGAATGTAACAGGATAATTATAATCTGTAACACCTATCACATTCGATATGTTTTACTCAACTTCACCATTTTATCCCTATCTTTTCTCCCAGAAAATCTTGGTCTCCTCTTATGAAATTGAAATCTGTTTCTCGTCCTTTTTCTTGTAGTGCGCATAAGTAAAGTTTTATTTTTCATTCACAGTTTTGTTCACTATAAGGAAGGACAAAATGACAACATGGTGAAATAACAGGATGAAGAAGAGCGCTGTTGTTATCTAACGCAAATACTTGGAATAAATACATATCCAGAACGTTAATTGTACCAATATTTTATCCATAAAACCAAACATACTAGTACTGTCCTATGGTTTTTTTACAAAACCATAGAACTGATCTTATTATGATTAATCGTGGCGCTTTTCTTCCTCTGAACTTGAGTTAAAAGAAAAGAACACAAATAAGAAAAAAGATGCAATCAAGACAGTTTTAGTATACTTTTCCACAACGCGAACCATTTTGGAAAAAGCTACCGACTCTTCAGTTCGGACAATCTGCTAGAAGGTTCAAATTAAACAATATCCGTAAGCTTAAACTTTACATTAATCCAAACTAAGATTCATGCTTATATTTTGGTTCCATGTCTGGAACAATAAGGTGTCGACGAAAAAGATGCACTTAGAGTTAAAGCCAAAATTGTGTCATCGAAGCTAGCTACATTTCAAGATAATATGAATGTCATATGTATAAAAAATTTAAGAAAAGTGCGTCTAACATAGACGCTATATGTATTCAATCATATGCTTTGTATAAATGCATATGCAAATATTATACAAGTACATTTAAGGAATTTAAATATGAGCTTATAAAATTAAAACCTCGCCGTTTAACTAACGACAGCGATGATTGACATTGACAAGATCGACTTGCCAGAGCTGGAGAAGAAACTTGTGGACAGCGGTAGAGCTTCCAATATTATGGCAGTGGGGAATGAAGACTTTGACTGACGAAAAGTCACTTAGAGGATGAGCTCACTGGACCTACAGATAGGTCAACCAACGTGTGTGTGTATGTAGCCGGTTGAAAGATCATTTCAATCGTATCATCCTCAACTTTTCTTTGACCATATCGATTCTTCAGAATCTACAAAACGAATAATAATATATTAAGAAACAGATGAGATGTAGCAGTCCGTGAAATTTATGCATTTGTTTTTCGTAAAAATCAGGCAAAATTTCTAGTCCTTTAATCTGTATACATTTGCATTATTCACTGGATATTCTCATAAAATACAACTTCCACTGAAGGATTTAGTTTGCAGCAGAAGCTAAAACTCAGTCTATTGAAGATAACGGCTATTTTTGGTACAATGAGATATCACTCTGAATAAGCGATATCCCAATTATAACAATACTACTAAAAAATTCTCAAATTTTTAATGAGATACGGTATATCTAATGTGAACAACGATACATACGAAATAGTAGCAATAGCTTGAACTCATTTTCAATAAGCAATAATGCTTCTAAGACTCAAAAGTTATGTTACGACATGTTTTGTGCATAAACAGCACGCAGGTTTTTTGCAACGCTACTTTCATTCTTGGAAAACTTACATATAAAAATTTACGGAATCTACGTCGGTCAGCTTCATCTCGTCGACGTTGTATTGCAAAAATATTATCCGCCTCTTGAGTAACTCGTCCCGAACCTCCGAAATGATGTATGTCGAGATCTTCGCCACCCTATAAATTATTACAAAAGAAATAAGATGGAGCCTATGAATTTCTCCTTCAAAGTGAACATTCACAAGGACACCAAAAAATGTTGAAGTTGAAATAAGTAATTCTTAGCTCACTTACATTGGTTTTTCGAGGATGGACTACCATTGTAATATGTGTCATACAATCAGTGGCAATACTTCGCATCAAACCGATAAAACGATCCTACAAGAAAGTTTGGTCTGCTTTGAAGGCATTCAAAATTTGTTTCATAAATCACTGAAACGTTTAAAGAAATTTAAACGATGGGATAGAACAATTACCTGCTGATGGAATCGTTCGAATGAATTCGCTGTCTCATCGTTCAAAATTGCAAGGCCTACTAGAAATTGTAAATTATCAATTACAACGTGTTCGATTTCACCTGCTATAACTTGATTTCTGATCGCCTGTAGTAAGGAAATTTTGATCTAATCAAACAAAAACAAAAATATTCCACCCTGATGAATACCAAACGATGGAATCATATTTGGTATATCTTCATTCTCCTAATATTAATACAAATAATCCACAATACTTAAATATTAATACAAATAAATCCATAATAACCCAATGACTAAAAAACCGTCCATCATTCTTTGTGTTTTTTGTTTACTCTAAGAGAAATGGGATATAACTAAAATCGATTAAGATAGCAGAAAAGAGACAAAAAAGACCACTTTAGAAATTAAGAATTTTAAACTTTTAAGCATTCATACACTGGCTATCTGATTGACGGAACGATTCCGGAATTCATCTGCTTTCATAATAATCAATTCTCCTTTAGTTCTTTCGAAACGATCAATCCATAATTCAACGGCTGGATGATGTTCTACTTTGTATAAAGGTAATCTGCAACGAAAAATGACTGCAACATTGAGAATACCAATAAGAAAGGCTATAACAGTAACGCACAGTGGAACATGAAATGCATATATGCATGTCGAGAACAGCAAAACCACTAACCACGTTCATATGACACCACAAATATGCATTTGACGTTCACTGTACCACCACTAAACGTGATTCTCGTGATGTTATAAATATATTAAACTTAAATCTTTCCTTTCTAGCTTCCATACCTTCCTATTAATTTAGGCATACGTCATAATACTTTATGATGCGAACAGTGTGCGTCAAATGATTTCAAAAATGATGGCAAAAATCTTTAGATGAAAAGCAAACAAAAATATGGTGGTAATGCACATAGATGTGATAAGGTAAATCATATACATATATAATAATGACCTATGCATATACAGGTCATTATAACTTGCTTACTTCACTCCATTATGAACCGTTCGAGACTTCGCCATACTTCGCAGATGTGCTGGTCTAACAAAACTACACGGTTAATTTTGCATAATTTCTTTGACTTATTTTTCGATTCCAAAACTTTATATAATACAGATAACTTTTAGTCAATGTTATCACTTGTTCTCGAAATCTGAATAACCTCGAGAATGAGAGATAACAGTGAACCATTGTAACTATTGTTGCTATTAAGTTAAATGAAAGAAATCTAATTCCTCTTGTAAATCTTATTCTAGCAAAATGTTATCACATGCAGTTCATGGAAAACTTGAACAGATAAGGAGTCATAATTCACAGTATTCGTTAATATTACGCCAGTAAAGAGTCAACAAAAAATAAATGCTAGAAAAAATCAGAAAAAAAAATAAATATTAGAAAACTTACGCTGCAAATTGCACAAGCATCCATTTCAGGATTTTTTCATCCGGCATTTCGAAACTGCAGAATAGAGTACGAACCTGTAACGGAGCAAGTAACGAATTGACAAGAACTATTTAAAAACAAACAATCTTTTTGCTTATAATTTATGATTATCAAAATGATGCTTGAAAGAATAAAAAGAAAATATGAAATGCAGTAATACTAACCCCTTGAACAAGAAGATCCAGAGCATATTCGCAAAGAAATGTTGTCTTGCCGAAACCTGTACCTCCTGTTATAACGGTCATCTCTCCGGGTCGAAATCCACGCATAAATCGGTTCAGCAAGTCAAATCGTTTCCACTTAAAATATTGAAAAATGAAAATGGAACATTCCAATACATCTACATAATACTGAGGAAAACGGTACAAAGTTAACAGTTTGAATTAGCGAATTGTCCTCCTTAGCGTATCACTGTACTGCAAATTACCTGTGCAACACCATTCATCTTCATCTGATCTTTAACCAACTCAGACTTCAATTCACTTCGTACATCAATTAATGAACGAAATCCTTTGCCACGTAAACGAATCGACTCCTCTCGAATTGCTTTATTAATTTCACGTCTACGATCAGAACGCAGCAGTTCAATTGGGCGCTCATGGTTGCTGAAAAGGAAAAGCAATTGTCTAAATCGAAAATAAAGCAGAATTTTATATGAAAATGAATTTTGTAAGGGATTAAAAAAATCATTTTTATAATTATTTCAGTGGGTAGTGATACACTTATATAAAACTTATATAAAAGACAGAACTCGATAAACTTACTCAACAATGAAGCAACGATTAGCATTCAACAGTGATGCATAATCCTTTGCATATTTTTCCTGAACATAGGGAAACCAAAGATAAACCATATCGAAATCTTCCAAGTATGGAAGTACACTGTAATTAAATGGTAATATGTTTATATTCTCAGAAGATTTAGAGAAGGAAAGCAAAAGGAAGAGGCATGAAGCAAATGTACTATTAAAAAAAACCTTGTATCCAGTTGTTCACCTTTGGGCAACGCTATACATAGCATTCCACCGGTGGCTTCGAATACCGCCAGAGCATCACGTTCATTTGTGGTCAGTATAATACGCCGGTCTAATGCAGTGACCAAGTGATAGCCAAAAATTCCCGAAAACGATGATTTTCTGCAACAACCTACAATACAATGCGAATATTCAATGAATATCTCAACTAAAAAAATGGAATTGATTCTGATAAAGTCAACCATTTGAAAAAATGTGTATCTTTTTGGTACTCTCGTCACCTACCCTTCAGTATCCGATCCAGGATAATTTTCCTTCTCCAAGCAATCACTACCAACTTTTCGAATAACTTTCAACCCTGCTGGTAATCGTACACGACTGCTAGGCCCTGTAAGAAAAAAGAAGAAATTTATTGGACTGAAAGAAATATATGAAGATATCAACCAACAATTTTGCATTTGATAAAAAGAAAATACCTCGATATCTTGGATAGCATAATCCAGCTCTCATAAAATTATCTAAATGTCCTTTGATGTGATATCGCGAAAGGGTATCATATGATATGCGCTGAAAAAAATACTTTTTTCCCGTAAATAATAACAAATTCTTATATATATGAGGAAGACGACGTGTCAGAATATAGCTAATCAAATGAAATAATATTGGATTATCCATCCCCAGAATATTTTCAATTAAATGGATTTTATGCGTGCTAAATTCACATTAGTAAACCTAAGCTGGCTAAGCATTTATGGCAGTTACTCAAATGGTAATATCAAGAGCACAGTAAATAAAAGGATAACTTGAATTTCCCAAAAAAATTCGGTGCAATGCGTCATTAATCATAATTCACATTCTCTTTATTACTGACAAATGGGATGATTCTATGATCAAATAAAATGAAAAAACTTAGATAAATAGTAAGCAAGACACTAACATCAATGCCAAGAAGTCTTCTAAGTACTAGGAATTCGCTTTGCTCGGAGTGATCCTTTAATTCACGCAAATCTACTGCATCCATCCAGATTAGTCGAAGAGTCGGATCAGAAAACATATTCAGTGGACTACCTGAAATGATCACTGTATTCAATGATGCTAATTCATGACTTTAAATGTATCTGGCACATCTCGACAGATTCGAAAAGTTTATTCTAAATGCTCAGTCTTAGTAAAAATGGATGGAATCATCTCAAACTATTTTTGGTTTTTATATCAGATATATTTATAACCCAAACAAAGTGTTCAAAACGGCACATCATTTATTTCCCAGATACTTGACCTGATAGGGTCAAGAGGAGAAATAGGAAAATCAAACGACAACAATTAAGACTATGGAAGTTTTTACAAGATTTTGAGAAACACCAACTTTATTTTCTAATGAAATAAAAGCAAAGAATTAAAAAAGGCTTACCTGTAGCATCAGAAGAATGTTTTGGATTGTGATCGTCGTCAAATATGCGCGGTGATATCTTATCAGCCCTGTAAAAATAGGTAACGGGAGACCAGAAAGAACAACAATAATAAATCCTGCCTTGGAAATTACTATGAATTAAAAACTAAGCAACATAATGAAAAAAAGCTAGAATATTGTCTACCGTGACGAGCTATTTGATGTTCCAACAAAGATGGAATCTAATCGCACTTTAATAAAGAAATCCATTATAGAAGTTCATTGCTCACTAAAAAATTTAACGCCTAATTCAATCCTAGATTCAAAACCAATTTCCCTCCTTTCTTCCCCACCCCAAAAAAAAAGAAAATCTTCGATTTAGGAAATGAGAAGCGATGTGAAGGGTTGCATGAAAATTACAGGTAATAAAGTCCAAAAGAAGAGCAAATTTCTTTGCTGCGTTAGCTTCTTGCTTCAGTTACTTCATTTTAACGCTGAATTCCTCTATTAATTATAACAACTACTCGGTAATACCAATTATCTCCGGTTTTTTCATTTTCTCTTAGATTATCAGATTAAATCATTATGCTCTCACAATTATTCTTTTTTTAATAAATAATGATGTAATTCATGACTACCACCTAACTTCCAATCAATATTAATACCCTTCTAAAATTATAGAAATTTTTTCTTTGAAAATAAAACTGCTCTCTCAATATCATTTCCAAAATTCCCAAATAGCACATAATTTCCAAATAACAGGTAATTTTTTCACAAACAGAAGCAAAGAAAATTTCAGAAAAGAAAGAGGAAGAAAAGCGGAAAGGAGTGCAATTTGGAGTATACTTCCTTTAAAGCAAGGAATAAGTCCCGCTTTTTATAAGGAACGGAGAAGGTGGAAGGAGAAAGAATGAATAGCTGCAATCTCTCCTTCGGCAGAACAAAATGAACGAATCAGAAACCTGGTAACTTGTCCTTTTTTGGACGGATGCTTACCACCTCTGTTAGTCAAACGAGTGAACTATTCTTTGAGAGAAAAAAAAGAAAAGGAAAGAGCTTGGACACCGTTAGATCGCAAAATGGCAACTGACAGGACATAATCGGTCCTCAATGTGCTTTTGCAAGACTCACTAATAAAGAGCAAATTTTCGGGCAATCATGCATGAATGAGAGCGAATGTATATCATTAGAACTAACTGCAGTAAGATTACTCTAGCAGACAGGAATCTAGAACTGAGTAAAAAAAGTAAGTTGACATGTTTTCTTGCTTATTTCTCCATTCAAAAAATTAGTAAATATCTTCGGATAAAATATTTATAATAAAAGATAATATGATCTTGCTAATTTTAATAATATTGTATTTTGGAATGATATCATTTCACATTAGTGGCATAGGATTTCAAAACTGATCTATCTAATTGGTGTTTGTTTAATGCATTCTCCCATACAAATCATAATTTAACAATACTATCGGAGAAATTCCGGAAGATCAATTTATGATCAAAAAAAGAAAAAAAAAACTCTTAAATTTCTAATTCCTCACAAACCAAAAGAGAGCAGCTTTTCTACCTAAACTTCAAATACCCTGACCTATGTGGTTTCGATGTTATCCTACTTTATGAGTTCAAATTTAAATTTAGTCCCAAACTTTTTTCTGCAATTTGAAAACTTACTGTTCACGCAAGAGGCGAAAATCTTCTGCTTCTTTTATTTTTCTTTGACGCTCCTTTTCTTCGTATTGAGATATGAGATCCAAGTAACTTACTTTATCATATAGATCCGAATCTAACTGAAACAACTGGCATCAACAATAAAAGATACACGAAGAGCAATTTAAACACAAGTCTTGCAATAAAATTCCAAGTTGTCTATTTAAAACTTAAAAACAGTATTTTAATTAAGACTCCAAAATTCATTGCAAATGTCTAATTTTTCATCAACATTAAACATCTTCCTCCAATTTATGAATAATAAGAAAAAAAATATTGAGATAATAGGTCAAACGACTAGCATCGTCCATTGCAGGCAAATGGTTGCCTTTTTCACGTCCTTCTTTCACAGTGAGCTCTTCTTTTTTTGGTACTTGTAACGCTGTGACGTATTTCCACGTGCCTTCTTTCGGATCTTTTTGTAATAATGGACGTAAAACGAATGGTTTTTTCTCTTCCACTGGTTGTTGTTCGACCTCTTCTAACAGCAACTTCTGAAAATATCAAACACTGTGTGGGAAGGGAAAATTATTGAGATACTACAAGGATTCATTCGTAGAAGTTTCACAATCAGCTGCTTACGATACATTGCATTATTTGCAGCACTCAGCTATGATGAAATAAACGAAGCAGAATTCCGGAATGTTGCAAGAAACCGGAATGGAAATAATGCAGATTTCTAGTACTTCCATTGCTCAGCTCTTTTCATATGGATTATTTGAGAGGGAATGTGGCCTCTATTTTCAAATCTTCTCCCTCTTTCTTTTATGCCTTTTTTATGCCTTTTAATAACTACCAATTCTAAGATAACTTTTAAAGAAATTACAAAAACTTGGAAAGTATATAACCGTTTCTTGTTATCATATTAGTAAATGAAGCCAATTACAAATTGATAGTTTTAAAATTAAAATTTCCTCATATACGGCCAGAGGCATTTATAGAAACTTCTCCTCTTTTCTTAAATTGTTGTTTGATTCGAGAGAGGAACTTAAATGATAAAGCCAGATTAAATCCGAAGGCTTTATCAAAATGACTGAATAAAAAAGATAGAGCAATTTTTCGTAGCAATTTCAATAATGGAAAATGGTAACTTAATGCTATGTTTATAGAGGTGCCTCATTTTTAGCCAACCACTCAAGTGTCAGGAAGAGGTGAAAAAAAAGGGCGTTGGCAATAAATGCCTGCCAGATTGACAAATCAACTACATATGATTATTCATAACATGGATCACCTTATGCATGGATAAAAACCAATCAAATGTTTCAAAATAGATTTTAAGAAAAAATACTTCTCTCTTCTCTCTTCCATAATTCTATTGATCCAATTCATAACAATACTGGAATGAGAAAAGAACAGATATGCACGGAGACTGAATGTGCTACTTCCTAACTCCTTCCTCATTCGTGGATAACTGACTAAGGATATTTCAATTCATGAAAGAGCGATTAATTTAGTGTGAGAGGGGACAATGACCGCATTCCGATTCTGATACTGTGCTTTATCACAATCACAACCCATGATGGTAAGATGAGTATTAGACAGGATAGATGTAACTAAAAAAGAATGGTATTATGAAAGCCGAAAGTAATGATACTGAAAATGATCGCCGTGTCATGGGTTTGTTTTTGAATATTTATCGCTCAATGTAACAGGGGCCACATCTTATAGACTGCTAATTGATCAACAGCACCCCATTACACAGTCTGGTCAATCCTCGATCAGCAATATAATGGCCCTTTTTTGGCCAAATGCTTCCTCTCTCCATAATGGATGCAATAATCAGTCCATATTTATGAGCTTCAATTTCATTCCAAAACCAATTTCACGACAACCCAATTCAATAAAATACTACATTCTCTGGGAACAAACTGTTCTCATCATTGAATTAAATGAATCCAAAAGACCAAATCTTGATCTAAACATTGCATATCTTAGTTTGTCGTCTTGCCTTAAAACCAGGTTTTAGATTAGTTTTCTTATTTTGCGCAAATACAATCTGTAACGTGTCTCCTTAGGATTGCTTTACCGTATTTGCCATATTTGATGTAATTATCTTGTACAGTATTTCTTCAATTGATACTTATCACTCCCATCTTTAAATTGCAAAAATCTGTGATAAACTCTCTCCTCTGCTCTTCTCTCTTCAAATAACATAATTTATAATTTTTTCAATATTTTATACAAAACGAAGGAAGAATGTATTAGGAATTTTAATCTAGTGAAACGCCACTGAGATTCAGTAATGATAGGGAACGGTACCTGCAGCAGATTAGCAACCAAAAAAAATACCTTGAAAATGTCGAATGTAGTTGCATGGCCACATGCAGTGCACATTATACTGGTGTCACGAAATGAAATGCAGGCTGTGTCCAGCGACTTGCAGTGCAAACATTTCGTGCGAATATCACCCAAATATGGCTAAATTTACAGGTAATATTTAACTAGTTTCTTACTTCTCCCAAATCAATAAAACTGCTTAATAATTTTAATACATTTCTGTTGAACAATTACGCCCTTTAATTATACCAGGGGAATAGAAATTGCAATGATCAAATCTACAAGGCAATCAAATTTTTAAAAATCAAAAATATATTATCATATAATGATTATCCTGAAAAATGCACAACATATTATCCAAATCAAATTTAAAGCAAAAATGACTGGATGAACTTACAGTTAGACTATACGGTATTCCACATTCTATGAGAAATTCGATAATCTCTGATCTTGTGCTTCTCTCTGAGTTCTTTCTAGCAGAAGTTACCGATTGCCGGCTATGCTGAAGATATTTAAAATTGATTACTTCTTTAAACTAAAAATATCAAGTGATAAATTACTTCATTAACCTCCACATTTCTTAAACTACCCTAAAATAAGCAATGGAGGGTAAAGATAGTGAATCAAAAATTGATGAGCATAAATCATAGTAATAGAAAAAGAAAACTTTAAGAATTGATAATCCTCAAACTTCGAAAGTTAATCCAAAGGGAAAACAGTAAAGGTGCTAAATTTTATTTCACTTTGGCTTTCTTGATAGACACCGCCTTTTCTGCCTATAATCGACGGTAACTGAAATAGTTTCCTGAAGTAACAAAGCTTACTTTAACTTCATTAATCTTTTTTGCAGCTGTAGTTTGTTGTGTGAGATCATGTATAATACTGTCAAAAGTGAGTTGCTGACTGGTACGCCTCTGTAATATCATTAAATTATGAAAAATAACTCCTTCATTTAATGGTCGAAGTACTTTTTCTTCGCATCTTTTCAGTGATATATCGATTCCCCTACCCATTTCGAAATATCGAATTAAAATTCAAGAAGCACATACCGTAAGATGATAGCATGATTTACGCTCTCTCAGGAAAGCTTTCCATTTGCTGAATCGAAGTGAACGTGCAACAGTTGAACGCCTACATGCAATCATTTCAGCAAGTGTTTAATTAGAAGATTCCAACATTTTGATGATATAATCCCCCAATGTGCTCCTAAAATAACAACACTAAAAATATGGAATGATTTCGTGGCCTTCAGAGAAAATTATTTCTATCTGTACAGTTATAGTAATTCCCCACCTTCAAAATTCAATGTATTGATCTTTATCCTTCAGGAATAAATAATTATGTAGCATAAATAAAAGTTAGCAACTGCAAGAATAATTACTACAGCATAAGTAGAAGTCATCAATCTGATAATTCAGATACGAACATCAAATCATTAAAAAAGAGTCACAAAATTTAATGCGATACCTAAGATAATTCTTTACAGATATTAAACATGCCTTATGATACCAAACAGAATTTTCCTCACTGAATCATTTTAATAACTACTAAATAAATAGAGGATTATACTAGAAGTATTTATAAACATTGCAATTATGCCCATCAGATATCAGTGATCCATTGACTTCCCTCATTTCTTTATTAGTCAATAACTTTCACGCAAATAAGAAATCTATAAACAGTGAACTTCATCACATCAATATACATAACACAATACCATGCTATATCAATATGTTCAATATCAATACAGAAACAGTATTCACTTTTCGGGAAATTTATTTTACAAATACTGATTCAGTAGACGATGAACGTTATCTAACAGTAAGATGAATGAGTAATCGTTGAATAGCGGACATTGAATCAGTCAAAGTTTGATTACGAAACACTGATATCTTTCTCGAAAACAATAACAATGCCATATATTTATATGTATTTTATACTCGGATTCATTTAATAATAATAATACTGACAAATTTTTTCGGCATTAATTAATTAACTGTTATTAATAAGAATTGAAAAACAATATTTTGCGAGTCTCTGTTGTAGCAAAAATGAACGACTATCAGTTCTTCTTGTGTAACATTGAGATCTGAACGACAACAAACTAAAAACCATAAAAAATCATTTTGTTTAAATAGTTCTTACATTCTTAAAAATCGCCAACAGAGGTTGAATTTTTCGCCATGGTGATTCCAATCGATATTCCAGGCTTCATTACATCTTGCAATTACTAAAAAACGAAGGTAGTTTTCCTCATCACAGACTTTATGTCTCTGTCTTTTGACTACATTCTTGCATTTTCTATTTTCTACCAATAGTGAAAAAATTACTGAGTTTTCCGAGGACAACAGGTAAAATTGTATTACTATTTAATCAATACTTAATTATATAAGCCTATTTTCCTACATTTTAACTAAAAACAAGAAAAATGCAAAGAAAACATTAACTGACAAAGCATAAAATACATAGAATACTTAAATTACTAGATTGCATTTAATAACATAAACAAAATGAAAATGTAGAAATGTGAGAACATTGTTATAACCAACTGATAAAAGCAGAATTGAGAAATTATTCTATTTTTGCTTTTGGTATTTTTATTACTTTTCTGTTGTTATCCTTCACTGTTGATGAACTATTACGAAATTCAGGCAGTAATTTCTATTCAGAGAAAAGAAATATGATAGGAGAGTACACTTTTCAAAAGTACTGGAAAGCTGATTGATATCAAACAAAAAAGCAGGGCAGCTTTTTGCATAATTCTTGATTTCTTTATTAAATTTTAAAGTAAGATTAAAGCTTACTACAAAATAGTACAAAAAAGCTTAAGAGTCTCTGACTAAATTATAAATCAATATGTTCATTCAACAATTTCACAATGTTCTCTTCTATGTTCTTAGGTTGCGTCGTGGGAGCATACCGTTCTACCTATAATACGGAGATTTATAATAAACCACTTCTCGTCTTTATATCATTCGGTAGAACAAAACATTGTGGCAATGGATTTCTATCTGATATGAAAAGAAATATCCTGAAAAGATAGCTTATAGATAAAAAAGTTGCAACAAAATCCCACTCACCACCTCGCCGCGTCTGTTGATAAGAAATTTAGTAAAGTTCCACTTAATAGCGTCTGTCAGAGTGCCCTTTTTTTGGCTTTTCAAAAACGTATACAACGGATGTTCCTCTGCTCCATTGACATTGATCTTAGCATATAAGTCAGGTTCAAAATTGAATGTTTCATTCACAAAACGTTTAATTTCCTCTTCATCATCAGGTTCCTATAAATATTTGCCATTTTCAAGAAGGCTAACAATTATCATCTTATCCTCATTTATTTTTCATCATTCTTTGCGAATTTTTTCTTAAAATAGAAAAATATCAATTTTAAGAAAAATGAATGTACTTGTGATGCGAATTGATTACAAGGGAAGGCAGCTATTGCCAGACCTTGTTCCTTGTACTTGTCGTGTAAATCCTTTAGCTGGGCATAATTTGAATGGGTAAGACCACAATGAGACGCCACATTTACTATTAAAACTACCTTGTTCCTGCAATATATATTAATTATTTCCTTCTACCTGAACAAAATAATAACAGTTGTCTTCATCAGTAAATTTCAGTATCCAATGTAATTCTTGACAACAGCTGACACTTCAAAGAAATAATGGAAAAGGATCGTTGAAACGTTTTTTAAGATACTAGTCCTGTTCTCATTAACCATCATCTTCGTATTATTTCTAATAGATAAAAGGTACACAACCTATATCGATCTAACGATACTTCCACTCCATTGATATCACGAACCCGAAACTGATATATCGTGTTCCGCGAAATTTCGGCTACAAATATATTAAATTGCAAGTATCTTCGATTTATCTTGGAACTTATAAGAAGTGAATAGATTGGATCAGCTTATTAATGTACGCTATGACACTTAGTGGAATAATGAGCTTTGAGAACAGTACTGCTATAAGCTATAGCACGTACTGCAGCATATATCACTTTTCCTCTTTTCCTACGATTTAGATCTATGAATAGAAGTAGAAATAATCAGACCTTGGCAGGATGTAATAAATAATACAATGACTAATAATTGAAGACTAGCTTTGGTTCCATTCCATTTCTCCCAATCCGGAAATGGATCCATCTTTTTATATGAAGACAAGTGGAATATGTTCTACTGTAAGTTAATGATCTCATTATTGGTCATCTTCAGTAAAATGCATAAATGATAACATACTCAGTATCAATACTGCATCAAGATAAAATACAAACCCTTCAACATCACTGCTAATTACCACTACCTATCTTCCAACACTGTACCTAATTAACGTTTTATAAAAGAAATTAGTGGATAATGATAATAGTGCTTTTTCATTACGTTATTTTACACTTCCATATTGATTGAATTTCAAATATTCTATTTACATCGCACAAATTAGAATATACGTTAATAGCTACAGTCATTAGAGCCAATCAAAAATGCAAGAAAGGTAACAAAATTACAATCGCAACAAAATTTGTCGAAGAATAAGAGTGGATTCTATGGACTATTCGTTAAATCTATGCTTGGAAAAAAAAACAAAAAAAAATACAGCACGTCAGACAAGAATGCATATGATAGATATCATAGATTGCTAAGTGCACTAATTACTCGCAACTACTATTATAATTGTTTTATCTTTCAAAAGCATCAATCAAAACAAAAAAAATATAAAAGGACGAGATTGTATTTAGTTTAACAGATTTATTCTGATCATAAGAGAGTATGACATATCTAAATGCCGAAAAAACGTATAAACATGAAAACAAATTAAGGAAATACACTTCTTAATCAGATATATCACAGAATTAAAAATGAATGCAGTGAAATGAAAAATAGTTGCATATCAAACTAATCATATTTACGTAATTTTTTTAAACTAACAATCGCTAATATTTAAATTTAAAAAAGTGTAATCTACAACTCTATTTAAGCTTTTTAAGACAATAAATCCATCTAAAATATTTCGAACCGATAGAAATTGATGGGCATGGGAAAAATGTCACTTAATATCACCATGAATAAAGAAAATAATGAAACAATTTAGAATATTGTAGCTTTTCAACCACCTTCTATTTATCAGTAATACTTCTAGTGCTCTCTTCTGTCAGTAAACTACGGTTCTAAAATATAAATGTAATATAAACTTTTTTGAAATATATATCCAGTAAATTACAGTACCCTAAGTCAAGAGTATATTTTTAAAGTTGACAATTGCCGTAGTATCATCAACTATTTTCGAATATGACTTTCTGAATCCAAAACCTTCAAGTCGCAAAAAATACATCAGAATACGACGATAGTTTTCACTGTCTTCGCCGATCCAAAATCTGAAAAGGGACTTGAATATCATTTCGAATATTAGCAAATGGCAGTACATTTTTTAAAATTATTGAAAATCATAAATTGTTTCTGTTGTTGCCACTGTTTGGAAAAGAACTGCAAGGCTTTAAAAAATCATTAATATAACATTTTCAAAATGTTCACCGAACTCTGAGATCCACTTCCTGGACAATGCTCTTGAATCGATTTGTTTCCAGTATTGCAGGAAAAACATCCCATTCTCCACCATTAAGATCAAAAATAAATTTATTTATTTTAAGTTCACTGACAATGTTAAGCATATCTGACAAAGTTATCAGAAGCCATGAGTTGTCATTGCCATCAGGAACTGTAGAATTTTTTGAAAAATATGGTGAAACGCCATAAGGATATACATTTTGGATTGAAACCAATCTGAAAACAAATGCCAGATCACCTCTAACTTTTAGGTACAAAACTGAGTAAAATGGTAATCTCTTGTACTATACTGATCAATCGGTTTGAATAAAATTACCTTTGATTTGACTCCACCGGCGAAAAAAAATGAACTTTACAGGGAAGAAAGTGTTCGAAATTTTCCATCACTTTAAATTCACGATAACTAAAACATGGTTTATAAAAGTTTGGCACATATAATAGTTGTTGCAAACAATCAGTTATCTTAAAAAATAATGGAGAAATGTATGATGCATACCTCACGTAAACAACACTACATGGATCTTTTATACTTAACTTGCACAGCATAGGTATATCATTTTCAATCTTCGTAATTTCATTACATTCCACATTTTCCTTTCTAAAAGTTGTTACATACTTCATAAGTCGATTCTTCTCTTCTATCGGAGAGCCTAAATAAAATATTTTTTAATATCTATTGGTAGTTAAATAATATCTGAAATGATCCACTCTTAATTTGCATAATATGACCGTTGCTGATCACACTGATAAAATACCATCAACATATATTATTTTCACAATACAAAAGCTTTCCATGACTGACCTAGAAACAATAGATAAAAATCTGAAAATTATAAGTTAATTACAATACTGATTCCTGCAACTCACTAAAATTACAATACTGGCCATTATATACGGTTAAAGTCAAAAATATAAAGCTATTAACCAAAGCCAAAAACAGGTAATTCCACTTGATGATGTGCTTTTCTAATGAAACTGAGTCGATACCAACAATTACGAACCGTCCGGTCACAAGCGGAACTTGATTCAGCTTCAATAAGGGCATAATGATATTTGAGATACATCTGATAGAGCAATAAATACCAATCATATACCAAATTTTCCATATTTTTTTCTATTTCGATAATCAGGTGAAGTTGATCCGATTGTAAAATCTGCAATAACCATTACAACTTAAATCGTAAATTCAAATAATGCTTTAGATGAAAAGTCAAAATAAAAGTTGGTGATAACCTTTAAAACTTGTTCCATCAACTTGGGTGCATTACGAAGTTCCTGTGATCGCATAATTTTTGATTCTCTATTCTTAATGGATGAATAAAAATTGATGAATACGGTATCAAATTGTCTATTCGATAATTCATGCAATATCTCATCGCAATCCCAATCACCATTACTACTTAACTGGAACATATAATGCATCTCCGCATCTGCAATAAATAGGATCAACTAGATTCGCTCTTAAAATTCTAACATGGAATAGCTTAAAGTTTAACAAGGGTGCCTTCCTGACTAAAAAGTTTAATATAGAAGTAATTTGAACATATATAATAGATAAAACAAATTTAACAACTAATATAAGAAATAACAGTAGCATAAACATTATAAAAATTATAGAATATGGGAGCAGTATTTTATGCTTTTCGAATTTTACTACTAGCATAAATATGCAACAATAATAAATAAAACAGTTATAAACATAAATTTGGCAAGACTTGCCGACGTTTCTCAAGTTGTCAAATGCTTCGAATCCTTCTGGAACAAAAAATATCCATTGTTCGGAGGTTACTGCAGTCAAGTAAAAAGCAAAATCATCTGGCGAACCACTAATGAACAAAACATTACTGAAATATCAAAAACACATATGAACCTGATCTCTGGTATGTCCGAAATTCACTGCAGTGGTTTTGCTCACAAAATTGAATTGCCATATATGATGATTATTAAAAAATAAATGGGTTCACTTAATTCAACTCGATAAACAAATCTTAACTCATAATTTACATTATTCTTCAGTTTTACTGGCCGATATGAAATTCCAACAGGTGGCATTACCCTATGCACTTTATCAATATTATATTACCAGCAGATCATATTTTGGCCATGGTTACATCCCACAAATAATGAAAGCAAAACGAACAGATATAAGTAATCCTGATGATTATCTTTGAAAATTACATACCGCATTGTTTTGTTCGATCTTCCATCAATACAAATCGTAAAAGCTCCTTTGTTATCACCAACACTGATGCCTTCGTCACATTTGTACTGCTTATGAGCTAATAATTCATTAAGTCGTAACACTTCAGCTATTGTATCATTGAGTTTCGGTGGTAAGAATATATCTACATCCTTCCAGTTCAGCGAAGATACATGGTTCCTCAATGCAGTACTATAAAGCAGCTTAATCATTGACAAATTTTGTGAAATGTAATATGAAATGATACGAGCGTTGAGATAACTTTACTAAGAGGACGTAGGGACTTTTTCAGACAATAAATAATATGAAAAATAGTTTAATTTTAAAAAATTCCTCTCTTTCTTCCCAATTAATCTTCAAATGACAAACCTCTCATAAAAGAATTTCACACTCAGTGAATCAATCGATAACCATATCAAGCCGTATATTACGTCCAAATCTTTCACTATCAGTATGACTGTATATATTGTTATCAATCTCAATATCGTCAATCCATTGATATATCTCATCCCTGATTACTCCATATTCCTACCATCATCTCAGTATCACCGCTTAACAAAACAGCGGCGAGCAATCATTGGCAGCAAAGTCACCGTACTTTACTGTACCTGTGATTTTTCATACTTTAGTAATCCTCGATAAAATTACTTTCATTTTGCATTAAATACTAGCAAAAAGGAGAATTTAGGATTAGGTATTCTACTGAAACATCTTTTCCTTATTTGGTTTCATATCATTAAACTTCTTAAATTCAAAATATTTCCTTTCTCAGACAAAAACTCTCTACATACATGATTATAAAAACTGAATAGGATACAATACTGAAAAAGGAATATTTCAAAGAATAAAACTTTTTCTTTTAGCATCAGTATGTATTTTTTTTTCTTTTAATATTAGTATGTATTTAACTACAAAAAGTTGTCCATATATACATAATTGTGAGAAATTATTCATACGTCACATAAATAATGAATTGGTTGCATAGGCATGGTTTTTACACGGATCGAAGAGATGAGTTGGTACAGTTATGTAAGTATAGTATGTCTGGATTTCGCAATAAAAGGATCAGATTTATGGTTCACATCTCTTTTGTATTGCATTCGTCATTACACCGTAAAATCTACATAAGTCTAAAATTATATTCAAGTACGTGTCTATACAAATGTTTATATAGAAGGATAATGTAAATTGTGGAAAGAATTGTGGGATAAAAGGAGGATGAGGGATGAGTGGCAAAAATGTAATATAAATGAATGTAAATGGAGGACAATAAAAAATTGCATGATACAGGTAAATGTGACTGCCGTTTCATTCCAAATCGCACTACATTACATCTAGATGATTGCAAGTAATCCATGAATCATATCCATTTTCCTTCTACGAAATTCGTCAACTAAAGAGTTCAAAAGATAAGTGCTAGATAGGTCATGGAATCCAATTAAGAAAGAAATTTAACTACCGCCAGTCATTCAAAGGTTTTCGATAGTTTTAAGCAATATAATATATAGTTCAGATATGAAAGAATAAAGAATAAAGAGAAAAAGACGATAAAAATAGTAGATAAGTTATTAGTTAATATTAACCTTACATGTATGTGTTATTCTATTACAAATGTTACGCAAATGTATTGTCCATTATATTTTCTTCTTTGCAAATATTTTTTTATTTTTTCTGCTCAGCATTAGCGAACAATACTGCATCGTGAACGGATGGGAAGAAATGAGTTGATGGAATTACCTCATAGATACTACATTTAGCGAACAGTATTCGGGCTGTTGCTGAAAAACTTTTCCTCAGATATTTTTCAATAAATATACCTGCTTTTTCACCACTTTCGACTGATTTAAGTATACGTGTGAGCAAAGCAACGAAATTCCGGTTCATGAATTTATAGAGAGAGTATGTGCGAAAAAAATAATAGATTGATTACCTTTTGAAGCCGCCACAAACATTTCTACATTGCGAGTTCTCACTTCCTGCGATAAATCCTTCAGTCTTTCAATTCCGGTATAGTCAATGTATGTAAATCCCGATGCATCAATGATCAGATAAAGTCTTTCCTTTTCATTTAACATTTTCTGTAATTTTTTTTGTTTTCACTAAAGAGAATATGCTTATCGAATGGCGCGTCAGATTCATTGATTTTTTTCAACAGTTGTGTTTTTAGAATAATATTTTTTAACAAATAATAGCAAAAAACTGTTTGAAAAAGGAAAATTAACCAATTTATCATCGACGATATTAAGAGCCTTACTGATAAATGTATCGCTGTTGAGAAAAAGTAAAGGTGCGTCATAGCGATAAATTGCGATCGTAGGTAATACTAGTGATGCACTAAAAGTAACCTTATCAATATTATTTCAAGTCGAACTGTGCTTAAATCCTTGCAAGAAGTTTAATTCATGATTTCCATATAGCCTTTTCAATATCTCCAAGATCAAATGCTTTGAAGTGATGGATGCAAAAAAGCCTAATTTTACCTATAACGATTGCTATCTTTGTAAAGCTCGGTATCTTTCATCCCACCAAGTATGACGGCTTTTGGCCTGAAATATTTTAAGGCTTCATTTGACTGTGTCTAAGAAATACATTTAAACAATTTAAATTCAATAAGCAAATGGAAAGGAGAACTGGAATATCTGACTCTTCAAAGTTTCCATTGTTTATGTCAAGAAAGAAACTAGGAGACGTAAAATATGAAATGAATCTTTCCTAAACTACCCTTTTATAACTTAATTTAGTCATATATGAGCCAGCAACAGATCACCAACCATTGTATGCGAATGATGACAGTCAAAATAGCGAATGTTACGGCTACACCAAGCCCTTGGCTCACGTTCCATAGAAATGTGCCCAGAAAACTTACTAACCAAATAAGCTGAAATTCTTGGGCGGATCGTCTTACTGATAAAATATACATAACTCACTATCCTTTTATCAGCAAGACTACTTTAATCTTATCAATAATGCTAAGGCTTAAAAATGTTTCTAAGTACACTAACCAGGTCAATTTTTGAAGTTTTCCAATAATGAACGACTTCGCTAGCTCTTAGAAACATACCTTGCAGGGCTACCACTATTACCGAGACTAGTACACACTGAAATGATGTTAGTGAATAAAATCAATGACTGGAAAAATGAAATGTAGAATTAATAAATTATGAACATTATACAAATGACTTCACAAACTTCAATTGAATAATTGCCATACCGTTGGCAAATAGTAGAGCAATGGTCCAACCAACAGAATGACCAAGAGCACCATAAGGGCAGCGACAACACTCGAAAGCTGAAATACTACATCTAATTCTGTGTTAGCAGAACATTTATAACGACAACTTGAAGAAACATGCCGTGAAAACCATTTGACATTGTAATTAGCAGTGTTTGCATCAGAAATGATTACAGTAAGAAAGAGAAAGTCTGACTTCAGAGGTGGCACCCAATTCCGAATTTACGAGAGCACGCGATAAACTTGCACTTGCCGGATGACAGCTTAAAAAACCACCCACCAATTGGCACATCGCCATCGCTTTCAGTTCCTACAAATATCCATGTATTGAAAAAGCTTGCTCAGTTAATTAAATCAAAATTGCCAAAAAAGTTCTATACCTAACTGAGATCAAGCCCTAGAACTATAACGGATTCGATACTTGAAATAACACTGTTTAAAGCTCTGAATGAATTAATGATTAAAGATATGCGTAACATAATAATGTCGATAACGCAAAATGAAATAACAGTATATTAGAGAAAATTGAAAAATTAAATATTTGTTTAATGTCAACACGAAACAAAATTATAAAATACCTGACTAGGAATAATATGATAGCCATGTTTCTTCGCAAAAACTTTTCCTACAGATACTGTTACGGAATAGATTACTACAGCAATTACAATTGCATCCAAAATAAACGCGCTAAAATGTCTGAAATCTGGCAGTGTCGGCACTGGTAATCTAAAATTATTTTGAATTACAAATGACAATATACTTTCCGTAAGCGATTTGTTTATACATTATAAAATTTCCCAATTCAGTCATACTAATTTGACCTTTGAAATACGGTACAGCGATGGATGCAATATATGGCAGCAAATAGTCCGCCAATGGAATGGAATGTATCTATCATTCAAAAAAAACTAAGTAAAGAGGTTATGTCTGTCTAACAAGACGAGTATGACATTTGAATACCAATTGTGTTGGTTTAAGGAACATGTAAGTAGTGAAAAATTAAATAAATGAAAGTTATTTCGAATAAGTATGAAGAACTAACTTATACGGTATTAATCCAACAATAGCAACCTTTTGTTTCACATTTAATTCCAGCATGTAAGTGACTAATGTACCGGTTATCATCTAAATTATATTCGTAACATATAAGAGATTCATTACATAAAAAAGTTATAAACTGTGAGCAACAACGATTGCAATATTTAGATTCCTTAGTAATGTATAACCTCACAAACATCTAAAATAAACATTATCGGTTTAAGAAAAAAGAACTCAGGAGTTCTTCATTCATTATTTGATAAAATAACCTGTTAAGGAAACTTGACAGTAGCGACAGCTAAGACAGTTCAAAACTTTAGGAACTCGAAAATATTTACATTACCAACCACAATAAGTTCAAATGGTACTGGTATTCGAATCCTTTGTTGTATTGGTGGGTTTATAATATACTTTCCAAGCATTAGTATAACAATTGACATTACTGATATACTGACTACATATAAATTTGCCTTCCTTAGCAATATCGCAAAGTCGAACAAAAACTAAAATATCCTCTGGAGGTTATTCTAACGTAACAAATATGTTTCATAGTATCAATCTTATGCTAATATTTTTATCGATAAAAATATATAATGAATAGAGGAATGAAGAAAGTTTTTAAGAAAAAGCTTACGTATGGTAATTTTAGGAGTCCAAATGGGCCATATCTTGGTGGTATTTGGACGCCGATAAGTTTTGGCATTTGTGATGCGAATACATGACATGCTGCACCAATCGTGAAACCACCAACTACTGGATCAGCCAAATAAACAGTAAGAAAATGGAACTGCAGAATGGCGAAAATTGCCTGGAAAATCAATCTCAGTTAGAAATTCAGAAAAAAGAAACAGATGGCAATAAATAAATATATTCCTATATTAATCATATATCCCTCTGTTTGTTCGTATCATATCTAAAGTGATCTTTATTTGTTATTTCCGTAATAGGAAGAATCAGTTCCACCATATATTTGTTCCTACTAAATTCTGAAAACCTCGTAATATCATATTGAAAATGTGCTGTATTATTTCAACATATTATTTCGATGTAAAAATATTGTTACAACAAGAGATATACTTCGAAATGATTAAATTAATGGTGGTTCTCGTTCTCTTTCATCCCTCTCACATTATGAAGTATTTGAATAAAGATGATATGAACAGTTACCATAACGAAACCAACAGTAAATGTTAAGGTGGCCATCAATCGAATAGCTAAATCAGCATCATCAACTATTTGTGAACTGTACAATTCAGTGTTGTTTTTACCAAGAATGTCCTCCATTCTACGTTCCAATGCATTTCCTGTCATCAGTGCTGCGACTGCAAACATACCTACAACACCTTTATTGTAAAATATTAAATTTATTAATTTTGCGAACTTCATGATCGTTTTACAAAGCTTTCGATTTCGAACAAGAATTTCTTTCAGAAGGCCAAAATTGTATCAAACTTTGTGGAGAAAATTAGACATACTTTTCATGAAAAAAAAAATTAAGGAGGATTTAAGAGGATTGAAAATTTTATCCTAAAATGAAACACATAATATAAAGAACTTACATACCAAGATTAATATGTTTTGAAGTACCGAATATAGCATAAATCAACGTAGGAAACACTGACGTATACAATCCGATCACAGCATTTACATTTGCCAGCGCAGCATAGGCCATAGCTAAACAATTTATTTTTTGTCAACCTAACGATAAAACAAATAAAGTTAAATGATCGATTATCATCAGCATTATTAATAAAAGAAATAATAAAATAACAGTGAACTTTCTAGCATTTCTGTTACGCCAATCTCCGTCATTTCTTCTCAAAGATTATTTTTTGGGTACATTTTTATAAGATTCAAAGGAAAATGCATGCTTACATATGATGGATGTAAATAATTTTATAATTTCTAAAAACAAATCAAATTTCATATGTTTCCCCTTCTCCTTTCCATAAATACAAAAATAAAAAAAAATGCGAAAACAAAGCAATGACAAATAAAACGTCAGTTAAAAACAGAACATATTTCGTGTTCTGTTATTTGAGGAACAAATACTTCAAACAACTATATTGTCCTTTTGAAATTCATCAGAAAAAAGTTTGTTCTTTCTTATCCAATATTGTTTTAAATTAATTTACTATCTCGAAAATATCTATATTTCATGTTGATGATAGGAAAACGAACTGGTTCCTCTCGTTCATTAAATCTTCTAAAAAAACAACATAGAAAAAACACGGTTAACCTTGTGGTACACAAAATATTCCAACGGTAATGCCGGCAATGATATCTTTGAGAAGGTTCGATCTGGTAACATTCGGAAGCCAAAGTAGTATCGGAAAAACCCGCTTGATTCGATCAATGAAGCTATATTCAGTACAACTATTTACCTTCTCTTTCACTGATTTTCCCGAATTTGAATTTGGTTCGATATATCCGTACTGGAAATCAAATTCCTCCTGCAACAGCAGTAACTTTTGAAACTAAATCTAACTTAAAAATGCTGTCAAACAGAAATGATAGCAGTATTGAGCTTGATAAACAGTAAAAAAGATTAAATATGAACTAAACTTGACCTGATTCAGAACAGCTCGTTTAATACTAAAAGTTAACCGCTTCTCTTTTATTTCCATATTGTTTCCTTATACGATTTAATTTATCACAACATTCTCACATCAATGATTTTTGCATCATATTGGCAATACTGCAACATATATCATTTGTAACATGCAAATTGCGCCATTTAGCGCAATTTGCATTAATCTACACAATTTATAGATTACAACATATAGCACTTGCATATATGCATTTTACAAATTTTACATGGCATCGAAGTGATGTGATAAAAGGAAGAATCGATGAAACACAACGTTTTCAAAAGAAGCTTTTATGAAGGTTAAGCTGAAAGTATTAGCTCATTTATAAGATTTCTATGAAAGCAAGAAGCTTGCAAGCTAAACAAAATGTTATATTTACTTTTACAAAGGCACATACATACAGACACACATACACCCACACATATAGATCCGCACACACATACATACACACACGCTTACATTCATCCACACAGATATACATATGTATGTATTTTTTTTTTTGAAACGATTATCTAATCGTTTCAAAATACAAAAACCTATAATTGAACTATAGCTGACAAATGATAAAAGAATAATATAATTAACAAAAGCCATCTGTAATTGACATATATGCTAAGAATGATTAAAACTAGTAAGTATAACGTTCGCTTTTGATGTTGATAAATACTGTAATTGAGTATGGAAGGTATGTATTTTATTTATTAAAGGTTTGATAAACCTATATCGCTGAAGATTATGAATTTCAAAGGTTATGATAAAACTCTATCACTAAAGGTTATGATACTAAGCGTGAGCTTGAATGATTATGATAAAATTATGTTTAAAAGACAAATTATCCTCTCTTTACTGATGCGTATATTATCATTATTTGCATATTATAAAGTCGTATTTGATAGATAACAATTCCTGTTCTTTATTGTAAAAAAGAAAAATTCATGTGTCATTAAAAGGATTTATAGTCAGAAAGTGTTATTATCATTGTTATCATTTTCATCGACAAGAAAGCAAATATAAACTTTCCTCCTTTTTATCAATTTTCCAGAAACAAACATCCAGTATTATTTGCTATACGAGGATAGTACATTTGGAGCCTGATACTTGTAATTTTTTAAGTTTTCCGATCAAAATTAATTGTTGCACTACATATATCAAGTTTGAATCATGAGGACATCAACTGATGTTAGTAACAGTTATTTGTGGAAAATGAGAAATATATCAGAATTCATAATCAAATTCAGAAATGTACTGCAATGTGTTGACCAACGGAAAAAACCACCCGTATCTCTAACCAAAGCTGTGAAATGGATTTATACTTCATTCGTCCAAGCATTTCCCTTAATCCAAAATTTAACAATAGTTTTCTGTCCAAAAATAATTATTACCAGGTGATGTCTTTAAAAGTGCTAGTTGCATCAATTTTAGAATTTTTCCTTCTTTTTTCATCGATAAAGTTGACCAACTGACCAATTGTAGATTGAACAGGAGTATCCTATTCGCTCCTGAACATGCGGGCATATCATACCTTCTTTGCAAGCCATAACGGCAAAATGCAGATTAGTTGTCTCCATAATAAAATCGTAACATTATGGAGAATAGAAGCTCTTTGCTGATTACCACAAAATCCCGAACCCATATTCCCAAAATATTTAATCTCTCCTTCAATATTTCGTTGAGTATTTATTAAATATAGTGTGGGAAGCTATTTATGGCACAAAACAAGCTTAATACGACAATTTACAAAAGTACTTAACATGCGAGCATATCATACCTTCTTTGCAAGCCATAATGGCAAAATGCAGATTAGTTGTCTCCGTAATAAAATCGCAATATTATGGAGAACAGAAGCTCTTTGCTGATTACCAGCGCAAACCAAACAAATTGAAAGAGTTTTAGTGAAAAGCACTTCATCAGTAAATAAATATTAAAATAGAAAATAGGTAGCACCCAATGCTTTTTAAAAAGACCACAGTAATGAACAAATGTAAGAGACAAGTAACTACTATCAGGGATGAAAAAGTGTAGAAGTTTAATTTCTGAAAGACTATCTGTAAAAAAAGCAACGAGTTCTTATAATACAGTGTTAATTTCATTCCTCAACGCTTGCTAGATCAAATGAAAATAGATATGATCTGCCTCTGACTATAATTTCGGTAGAAATTTAAGAAAAGAGAAAAGGCATTAAATTGAGTGTTATTATAAGCACATCACTGGTTGTTAGGAATTTGAGATTTTAAAGTGCGACACAAATTTTGCATTTGTTGCAGCTGTCGTTCTTTTAACGCGCATAAATCTTCACATTCTTTAACTTTCAAAGTTGCAGCTGCCAAAGCTCTGAAATAAGCATCCGCTTGGAAGAAGAGTAGAAATTGGCTGTTACTTTTGCGGTAATAAAAATACTCGTATACTTTGGCTAAAAGTAAAATCGGAACTCATTCAATTGTACTTCTAGGTCCAGATTACAGAAGCATTGAAGTTTTTGCAAAAGTTATTTGAGGAAATCGCTTTCCGAGGTTAACCAGGAATAAAACTTACTGGGCAGTCTCATCATATTTCATTTTCCATTTCCGTGCATCCTTCTCTACTTTAATGACGTTTGCATTCATGCGCTCCATTTCACGCCGGAATTTATCAAACGTTTCATTTGAATTATTGAGGCTTAAATGCAATTCATTATATTTCTTCGTGTATTTATCGATCTGTTCACGCATTACCTTCTCTCCTTCGAGAACTTCCTTTACTTTCTGCTCACGAGCTAATAGCTGAAAAAAAGAATACCTTTATTAATTTTTTTTCCTTGGTTAATTACCGATTGTCGTAGTCAAGTCAGACACTTAACCTAGAACAAGAGAAAACTATCTATCCAAAGCAAAACACAAACTACCCGGAAGAGAAAAACTACAAAAATATAAAGTCAAAATATTTTTTCTTTGGATTATCTCCATGAATCAGAAGATAATCCAAAAAAAAAAAAATTCCAAAGAAAAAGCCTGTTAATCTAAAAAACAACTAATGAAGTACTCAAAGAACCTCGCTCTGTAACTGTAGTTTCTCTTGTGTGCATTTCTGCGTATCCAATGCAGCAGCCTGAAGCTTTGTTTTATATAATTCCACTTCCATATCACGAGCCGCTGTCAGCTTCTCATAGTACTCTGTCTTCTGCAATAAACTACATTTACGAAGACTTGAAATAGAGCGATATATATAAGAGTATTTTTGTTTTGCTTTCGTGTAATCTTATCTAAGCAATCAGCCTCAATCAACGAAAATTAACTTGTTAACTGAGAATACCAACATCTGATGATGATGATGAATCTGCGGAAATATTTTGGACATACTTCGGCAAATTGCTTTGAGAGCTCAGCAACTCTGCTTTCATATTCTTGTGCCAAAATTTTCAATTTCTCCGACAGCACTGCGTTGTCGTTTGTCAGTTTTTCAGATGTTTCTCGTCCCGACTCCATAGATTTCTGCAGCAATAGCAACAAAGAAAAGAGTAATGCTCATAATAATTACTGTGCAAACTTCCATGGGAAATTCCGGGAATCTTTCCCACTTTCCGAATCCTTGCCAATTTTGAAGAAGTATTTGTAATTCAAAATGCTGTTTACCTGAATTCCGGCCAGTGATTCTTTGAACTGTTCGATCATATCTTTACGATTTCTTTCCAACTCACGCAATCTCTCTACGTGTTCCTCATGAGCTTTCCGTTGTGCCCTTTGCATTTCTCGACATAAATTTTCCAACTTTGATTTTGCTAGTTCGGTCTTCATCAACACTCCTTCAACTGTTTCCACTTTCTTGGTTAACTATAATCAGAATACTGGATATTTGTTTAATAATTTATGGATATTTTGTTTCCTATAATTACATTCTTCGATCGTGAGCAGATAGCTCTTATCTTCTCCCAGATCTTTCAAAAAAGTATTGTGAACAGATTTCAAAATAAATGAAAATTTACATCAACAAAAATAGATTGAAATAGTGTGAAAGACTCCTGAAAATATTTGCAAGTTACGAATAATTATTAAAAATAAGGAAGAAAAAGTATACTTAGAAATGCATTTAATTCTCCTATACGAGTTAACATGATTTAATGTAAAGAAAAAAATTTTTAAGATATTACAATCGGATATATCTAATAGTTTCTCACCAATTCATTTTGTTTCCTTAGACCAGTAGACATTTTCTGCATCTTCGACAGTTCTTCAACCTTGCTTGCTAAAGTAGTCTTCTCTTCTTCGGTTGCCACAACTCGTTCCATTAACGCTTTCACCAGTTCTTCACCTTCCAAACATCGTCCGATACTTTCTAATTCACTTTTCACATCTGCAATTTGCAAATTTGTCAATGTTTATTTTTTAAGCTATCAGTTTTGTTACGCTTATAAAAATGGAAAATATATATAGGATAAATGTAAAAAAAGAATACAACAATAACCTGTTTTTCGATCTGAAGCCATTTTTTGGGTCATTTTTCTAAACGTTAAACAACCATACAGAACAGAAAATTCGCAAATATATTGAAAGATGAGTATACAGATGAATGTGCAATTGAGACGATAAATATGTATATGAATAAAATGGATGTGAATAAAAATACGGGACGATAAATTGCAACCGGAAAGATTGCAATCACAACCACACCGCTGCTGTAAATGTAAGATAACCCACTGAACCCTTAGTTATTGTACTGAATGCTTGGAAGATACAGAATTCCTTATAAGGTATCCAGCAAATGATAAGTCCCAGCATTCCTTCCAAATTTGACTTTTTTTTTTAAATCATCAACGCAGTAAGTTTTCTGATAATGAAATCTTGACTTTCTCTAGGATAAGGATCATGCTACTCACATTGCTTATCTAATCTAACATTATTGTGCTCTCAGTTATTTATTAGCTTTAAACGTACATTAAATACTAACGTACAGCCTACGTGCTAATTTTTTCCGGATACATATTCTCGAACTATTCATAGGTCAATACCCAGCACTCAACCACCTAAACATCACCGCAACTCTTCACACAGTTCTCATCCCAGCAGTGTCACTAATTCGTTTAGGTTCAACCGCAGAATACTTCTCGGCCTGTTTGACCAGTACTGAAATTGTTTCCGAAGCAGGTTGATCTCTGTACCCATATCGCATGCTGCACATTACTGCATCACTCTCGATAATATTATCCAATACATACCATGTTAAGGCGTAAAGAGATAAATAATTCCATATATATTTTGTATCCTTAATGACATTTTTGTAAACTTACGAATTATTGACCAACGCAAATACGTGTTCTCAGAAGTTTCATTGATTTCAACGTGGGCGGAAAAAATTTATCATACTGATGTGATTTACAAAATGGCTACCCTGAACGTTTTTATAATAATTCATTGCTGAAAATGATAGAAAATCTAAGAGATCTTTAGAAAATACGGTCTCTTTATTTTCCTAATTTTCTTTTCGATATTATTTGACATGGATAGTCAAATAATAAATCATTTAAGGTAGTTAATTTGAGAAGGATCATCTGAAGAAAAATTTTGTTAAGACTTGAAATTTTACGGTACTCGTTGTAGGATAAATAAAATTCGTATTTTATTTTCAATTTATATATTTGCATCTATACTCGATAAATTTCATTCTGCCAAAGAAGCGGTTTGCTTTAATTTGAATCAATTTTAGAAGAAAATTCGTAAAATTTGCTGATCGACAAAATATTTGTTTAAGTTAACACGTCATTTTATAGCAGAAAATATTGATTTTAACGTTTTCATTAAATAAAAAAAATGAAATTTCCAGATTCTTTTTTTGCGAAAAAAATGACATGAACAGGAAAGGTAGTATTGAGATATGTGAGTAATATCAGATATAAATTAATGAATTAATTTCACTTTACCCAGCTCTGAATTAATTCCATTTATCAAATGTTAAGTTTATTTATTCAAAAAGTTAACCTGTAGTGATATTGTCGCCAAACTATACTGATAGTGAGACCATTATTATTTAATGATGGAAAGGTTCTTGATTATAAGAAGAAATTATCAAAGTTATGGTGCTCTGCTGAAAATTATTAAAATAATTTAACAAATTTTCATTTATTTACACGTGGTATACAATTTAGGTAGAATCAAAAATTCGAATATCATAAGTTAGCTCAAATTTATGCAAGTTAAAAGTTAGATACAGATATGAATAAAAGACTATTCCAATTGATAAGTCAGAAAATATTGATACAATTAAACAAAGCTTTTCTGTGATGAAAATTGTGGTAATTTTTTTTATTGTTTCAAAATAAAATCTTTTTGCCATCGTTTCCCTTTTAAAATTTTACGTAACATTGTACTGTAAAGCAATTAGTATCATTTCTTCCCAATATTATTTAATAGTATTCTAATTAATCAATTAATTAGCCAAATTATCAACAAGAAAGTTCAATAAGAAGCAAAGTCATCATATAGGTCAGCTCATATATGAACAACTATCATTCAGAGCAGTCTGATAATATGCATTACTATATTAGTGAGAAGGAGGAAAGGTTAGGTCAATGCTGTCGTTTACCGATTACAAGCGAATGTATTTCAGTGCCTGCACGAATTTGACAATCACAGCACATTGCTGATGAGATCGTTGTCGGTTGCCAATTTCCGTTTACGTTTCGTAGCACATCAAAATTTCGATATTTTTGCCGGCATTTTCCCCAGCCTAAAATTATGCCTGTGCTAAATTTGTGTAGCTAAAAAAAATGCTAAGATACGCATATTGTTATCACCATTGAAGTACGGGTAAAAAAACTTTGATTGAAACAAATTATGAAAGAAGATTTTTCCTTTTTTTAATAATATGTTTTTGATCAAAACTCAAAAACTTTTCCTTTCCCTTTTTTTAGATCACTTGAACCGATTAACTCTTTCTCCTGTCTCAATCATAGGCTTTTCAAATATAATTTCAATTAAGATATTAGAGATGATTTCGCTTTGGATAATAATTTCTTCAAGCATGATTTCATTTGGAAAATTATAAATTACAAAATCGATTTCTCACTCTCCCCTATCTCCCATTCTTCGTCTCCATCTTCTAAAAAATGGAAAAAAAAAGAAAATCAAGTTTTCTCTAAATTACTATTTGAAAAATGTATTGTGTATGAGTACTTTCATATCATCGCAATTTATTCATTTCAAAATTTCTTTTCAAAAAAAGCAATTAATTTAAACATTTTAAACAACTGAATCAAGAATTATTTTTTCTTTTTTTTGTAATCTATGGTCGAAGAAAGCGCAAAAATTACACTTTATTTGATAGCAGGAAAAAAAATCTCTGGAAGAGAATAAAGAAAGAGTATGGAATATTACCGGATAGACAATGACCTTCATTTTCTTTGGAACAAACAAGTTCATTGATTAAAGGCGGAAAGTAATCGGGTGGTAATTTACGCCAAGTCCAACAAGCACTACAAAGTGCCAACATACTGTCATCATCCACTTCACCATGTCGTACACAAGATATCATATAACGTGTTCCTGAGACGGGATATCAAAAATGTGAAAGAATTCAATGATTTATATTGTAACATTAGCATATAATTTAGTTTGCACAGATAAATCTACGTCAATTTTATTTAATGAAGTATATTAAAGTGTAGGTTATCATCATCCTATTCAACTAGCCACTAAATTAATCTAAACATTAGATTAAATATCGATAATGTAAGAGTTTAAAAAAAAAAATAGATTTTTATAAATGCGATATAAACCGACGAGTTACAGTCTTCACGATACTGTAACTAATAATTAAGACATATTTCTGGTATTAAATATGTACTATCAATGATGCTTATAGTAGTATTAATAGGGATTTGATGGTTTGCACTGAGACTGGAAATAAGTGTTTATTGGAAATTGGCACACACTGAAAAGTAAATAAACTTAAAAGTAAATAAATAGAAATTAGAAAAAACCTAAAACGGGTGGATCGGCTTTTCTTTTAACTTTCTTCCTGCCACGATCATGTACCTCTTCCCATGTTCCGGTTTCGCCATGTTCCCAATTTCCGGCTTGACTCTGATGTGATGATCCTTGTTTAGCATTATATATTGCATCAGTAAATTCAAAGATAGGAACCCACGGTTGTTGAATTGGGTACTGTAAGCACCAAATGCTATCATTGTATACAGTAGCAAAATCTTTCAATCATTTAAATTTATTATCAGTTTAGTTAATGCATATTTTGGATACAGATGAAATTAAAATTATTCTGAAACCTGTGGTAGAGGTTGTGGCTGGAAAAGTGGAAATTGAAATTGATGTGGTTGAATGGGAGGAGGCGAGAATATAACTGGTTGAGGTGGTGGTTGCACCGGTGACCAAAAATGATTTCTCTGTCTGGGATAAATCTGTAGGGAGAAAAATTTTATTTAAATAGTAAAACTATATTCGAGAAAAACCTATTGGAGAATAAAATAGCATTTCAAGCTATAATTCCGTAAATAAGTTGTTTTTCAAAAAAAAGCTTTTACAAACAATAAATTTTTACAAATTTTTTACAAACCTTTATAAATAAATTTTTACAAACTTTTACAAACAAATTTTTTCTTTCAAAATAATAATTTCTTTTTTTGGCATAATGAATTATTTAAAACTTGTAAGAAATTTTTCATTAAATGTTATTATGATTTAACATTTAATGAAAAATTAAGCTTATATGAATATTTTTATATGAAAAATTAAGCTTATATGAAAAAATAAGCTTATATGAATATTTTCAACTTAATAATTCTTATTTCCCAAATTGTAATAAAATAAAATTCTCACAACTCGTTGTCGTTCTGGAATACCAGCATATCGCAAACCTCGATCAATCATTCCCTTCATATAATATGAAGCTTTGGGTGGATTTGGTACCTGTATAGAAGTATATCA